GAGTCTATGAGTCTATGAGTCTATGAGTCTATGAGATAACAGATAGGGTGAGAAGTTAGTATTTGTAACTAGATCCTTAGTGAGTTAAGTTAGACTTGCGTGTTTTGCTTTATTTTGCTTGGTAACTTACTTTGCTCTGTCTGATATTACTTGAAACTACTTAAATCCCACTTTTTTATACTTAATAAAATCACTTTTGTTTATTAATAAACCTAGAGTAAGTGATTGATTAATACCTGGGGGAGCAAACAGCTGTGCATCTCTCTCTATCTGTGTTAGAGGGTGGACAATTTGAGGTTTACCCCGTATAAGCTTTATACAGAGTAAAACTGATGTATTTGTGGCTTAGGCTCCCAGAAAGACTGAATACTGGGTGCTGGGAAAGTTGCTGTTAATTGAGAAGCCCCTGGGCTAAGTGAATTTTAGTTTCTGTGAACTGCAAGGGGGCGTGGCACGACCTCTTGGTCTGTGCTGGAGCTGACTGGTGTCTAGCCCAGCAAGACGGGAGTGGAGAGAAGCCTTTTCTGGCGGGGGGGGGTTTGTTCTCAGTGGTATCCCAGCACATCTAGTGACAGTCTTGAGGGCGTTTGTGACCCAACCTGTCACAGTATGCATAGTTCAAATGACTTCTTCCAGAGCGCATTGCCTGGGGAGGCTGTGAAATCTGCATCGTTGGAGGTTTGTAAGAACAGGTTAGACAAATGCCTGTCAGGGATGGGCTAGGTTGACTTGGTCTGGCCTCAGAGCAGGGGCTGGACTCTCCTGGGCCCTTCCAGACCTATATTTCTATGATTACCTTACAATTATCAGCCCTGACTGCCATCTGCCATTCTGCGGCCCATTCGCCTTGCATGGTTAGGTCCCTCTGAAGCTCCTCAAAGTCTTCTCCAATCTTCAGTAACCTAAATAATTTTGACCCACCTGCCGATTTTTGCCATCCTCTTTTCCAGACCATCAATGAATGTTAGACACCCTCAGTCCTTGTCGCTGCTCCGTGTGCCTGCACTCGGACTGGCAGAGACCGGTCCAGTTCTGTGAATGGAATGACTGCTGAGGATCAGGTGTTGGAGCCCTGAATGAGGCCCCTAAGCAACCCTCTCTTGGATGACCATGGGAGGTGTAGTTTCCAACTCAGGCAGATGTCTCGGCTCTAGAGCGAGCACCTACCAACAGCAGTGTGGCTGCAGCAGCATGGGAGGCAGCTTGGGCTAGTTGCCCACCTACAAACCTGCCCAACCCCATGGCGCATACTTGGGTGGTTAGCCTGAGCCACAGCTGCCATCCGACTATTTTCAGGCACTAGCTCGAGCAGAGCTAGGGCTCATTCATCTACCTGAGCTGGGAATTACTCCTCCAACTGCTGTGCAGCCCTATGCCTAGTGCCTTGGAACGTATGAAGGGGGCGGAAAAGCCTCTGCAGGACTTTGCCAGGTGTGCAGGAGGGAGCACTACTTTAATATGGAAAGTGAGTAGGAGAGTCTCCCTCCTGGGTACACATTCGGTGTTCTTCCGCCAGGGAAGGTGCAAAGATGAATGATGTTGTGGTTTATTACTGAGGCAGTAGCATGTGATCATATCAGTAAAGACTTTGTCATGAGATGTATGCATGAGGGTCAGAGTTAAGATTAAACATGCAACTTCAGTGTTTCTTAATTCAATTGGTCCACTGAGACCCCTTAATATTTTCTTAATGTAGATTTCTTTTTTTGGGGTGTGGAATGGAATCTTGGATTGAATGATTATGGTGGCAGTCTCGATAGGTTTTACGTGTACTTACTTTGCAGTAGTAAATATTGAACAGAGTTGGTTAAAATGCAGAAAAATTTTGGAGGGGGATTTCTTTGTTTATACATTGACTTTCAAGAAACTATTTCATCCTAATTTTGAAACTGGAAACAATTTCTGCTTGCTGTTCTGTAGTATGTGTTAACATAAAATGGAAGTAGATTTTCAACAATGAGAGAATTACTTCAGAAATAGCATTAACCATTAACATGTACATAGGTTCAGAAGCTAGCCTCATCCTACTATTATAGCAATTCCCCTTTGCGTAAATCACTTATGCATGGTGAATCTGCAAGCAGTGGGATTTAATTGTGACATTTACAGTTCAGACATGTTATATAATTGTTTTTGATAAATGTAATTAACTAGATTTTTTTTTAAATGCAGTACATAAATAAGACATCAATCAAATACTTTATCTTTATTTGACTTGAGTAACGCTTCTTACTTTTGTATCTGCAGGTAGGAAGACATTTGGAAGCTGGTCAGACAAAGCTATCATGTTGAGGTTAAGTCATTCACCCGCCTTTCCTGAAGGTTTTCACCTTTTAAGTATTGTGGCACTCTTGCTATTCCATGTGGACAAAGCATATGCAGAAAGTCCAACAGACACGTCAAAGAACGCTACATGTACTGGTACATATATTTGCAAACCAGGTGTGATTTTACCTATCTGGGAGCCCCAAGACCCTTCATTTGGTGATAAAATTGCTAGAGCTACTGTCTATTTTGTGGCCATGGTCTACATGTTCCTAGGTGTATCCATCATAGCTGACCGCTTCATGTCCTCAATAGAAGTCATTACGTCCCAAGAGAGAGAGATAACTATCAAGAAGCCCAATGGTGAGACCAGCAAAACCACAGTGAGGATTTGGAACGAGACTGTGTCCAACCTAACGTTGATGGCTTTGGGTTCTTCAGCCCCTGAGATTCTACTTTCTGTTATTGAAGTATGTGGTCATGGTTTCACTGCGGGGGATCTCGGACCGAGCACCATTGTAGGCAGTGCCGCCTTCAACATGTTCATCATTATAGCCATATGCGTCTATGTGGTTCCGGATGGAGAAATAAGGAAGATTAAGCATCTACGAGTGTTTTTTGTGACGGCAGCTTGGAGCATCTTTGCCTACACTTGGCTTTACCTTATTTTATCTGTCATATCACCCGGTGTTGTGGAGGTCTGGGAAAGCTTGCTCACTTTCTTCTTCTTTCCCATTTGTGTGGTGTTTGCGTGGGTAGCCGACCGAAGGCTTTTATTTTACAAGTATGTCTACAAGAAGTACAGGGCTGGCAAACAGCGAGGCATGATCATTGAACATGAGGGGGACAGGCCATCATCCAAAGCTGACATTGAAATGGACGGCAAAGTGGTTAACTCCCATGTGGAGAACTTCTTAGATGGCACCCTGGTTCTGGAGGCAGATGAGAAGGATCAAGATGATGAGGAAGCAAGGAGGGACATGGCTAGAATCCTGAAGGAGCTGAAGCAGAAGCACCCCGACAAAGAAATGGAACAGCTGATAGAACTAGCTAACTACCAGGTTCTGAGCCAACAGCAAAAGAGCCGAGCCTTTTATCGCATTCAGGCTACTCGGCTAATGACGGGTGCTGGCAACATTTTGAAGAGACATGCTGCGGATCAGGCACGGAAAGCTGTCAGCATGCATGAGGTCAACTGTGAAGTGGTGGAAAATGATCCCGTCAGTAAGATCTACTTTGAGCAGAACACCTACCAGTGTCTCGAGAACTGCGGCACAGTAGCTTTGACCATTGTTCGCCGAGGCGGTGACTTGACCCATCTCGTTCACGTTGACTTCAGAACAGAAGACGGCACAGCCAATGCAGGGTCGGATTATGAGTTTACCGAAGGGACTGTGGTCTTCAAGCCTGGCGAGACACAGAAGGAAATCCGGGTTGGCATAATTGACGACGATATCTTTGAGGAGGATGAGAACTTCCTCGTTCACCTCAGCAATGTGCAAGTGAGCACTGAAGCGTTGGATGAAGGAATTCTGAAGGCTAACCACATCGCAACACTTGCCTGCCTGGGATCGCCCTCCACTGCCACCGTTACCATCTTTGATGATGATCATGCAGGCATCTTTACCTTCGAGGAGCCGGTCACTCATGTGAGCGAGAGCATTGGAACCATGGAAGTGAAAGTGCTGAGAACGTCCGGCGCTCGAGGAAATGTTGTTGTGCCCTACAAAACCATCGAAGGCTCAGCCAGAGGGGGCGGAGAGGACTTTGAGGATACTTGTGGAGAGCTTGAATTCCAGAACGACGAGATTGTGTAAGTACCTCCTTTTTTAACATCTTACCAGTGCAAAATGAACAAATGGTGTTTATCATGCCAGACAGAATACTCCATTCCAAACGCATGCCATTGTGCTACTGCTCCTATTGCCAGAGATCCTGAATGGCCTCGTGCACTGCTCCCACCCCCAACGAACCCCAGATAGAGCAGAAGTACAGCAAAAACCCAGCACGAGCATGCCAGGCGGTGGAGCCTCCATGCAGGAGACTTTGTACGCCTGCGTGCTAGAGTGGAGCTGTGTGTGGGGGTGGTTAACAAATCAGGATGTAAACAATAGGTAGCCAAGCAGAGAAGACCACGTGGAGGGGGGCAGCGGGCGGCTGTGGCCATTACCCCATTGTGGCAGTGGGCCGATGTTACGAGAGTCTGAAGCATGCATAGTGTGGTATCCGCCCCAACTGAGTGTGAATGTCTCGAGCCAAGCCCAGTCTTTTCACTAATGCTTTGCACCAGTTCACAGGTTTGCTCCTGCCATTCACTTTGGAAAATGTCTTTAGTGGCTCCTTGTTCAAAACACTGCAGACCTAGGTTGCTGTTGGCATCAGTGACATCATGAAAGATGTCTGTCCTGGGCCTTAAGTAAACTTTTCCATGGGGGCAAGTGGTGACGTGAACGATAAGCCAGCAGCCAGGTTTGATGGATTGCAAATGCAGAAGTGGTTAGGGGAAAGTGGTGCGGCTAAGCATTGCCTGGTGAGCTGGACTAAGGAAAAATCACACCTGACTTGGCATATTTATTGTGTTGTGTGGAGAATGTAAATCCTCAATGCTACAGTGGGGAAATTTTATCCTGAAATATGCCTCAAAGAGAGCGGGAACCTCTCCCCTGTATTGTGCCTTGCCCCTCCCAGGGACACAGAAAGGGCACAAAACCTGATCAACTTCAACCGTAGGCTCTTTCCAAAGCAAATGCCATAGACTTAAGCCAGTCCACTACGAACAATAGTCTGTCGCAAAAAATCACTGTAGACTTTGGAGTGGTTCCCGACAAAGGGCAGTGCCTACCTAGGGGCATCTGGGAGGTTGGCTAGAACGTCCCATTCAATCCATACTACTCATTTTGGTAGGACACCAGGCACCCCCAATACAAACTGATGGAGTGTGCCTTTTGTTTCTTGCGTTATTTATAGCTGCTCTGAAGGTACAGAAGCCAAATGATTTATAAAAGATTTTTTTTGAAGGGTATTAAGTTTTATGCCAGGTGCCAGACTTGCAGCCTAAGGGACAAAAATCAGGATTTTTAGCATTTTCTTTCGTTTGTTTGAAAATTTCACACAAACCTATTTTGACCAGGGGATTGTTTGAACTCTGTTCTTTGTGTTCAAGCCTGTTCTGTGATTGGTCACCTCAGTATTATTTTTGTTCTCCGATTGTCGGAGTGCAGCTGTAATAACCAGGGGGAATGCTTGATCGAGTGACTAGGCCTTTGATTTTTCTCCAGGAGAGCCAGGGAGATGTCTGTGGAGACGGGATGAACTAGGTTAGTAGAATGAAGGAATTTTGGGAACCGTTTAAACCAGGCCACTTTAATAGCAAACATTAGTGCCAGCAAAACCAGGCTACTGCTGCCACATCCTAGGCCGGGGGTGGGTGTAGAGTTTATTTCCTCTTGACACAGTCACACACAGTAATTGTGAAGTGTGTGAGATCATGTGGTCCCAGCCATCAAGTTTGTGGCCAGATCCTTGTCTGGTTTATTAGATTTGCTCTGAGCCAGGGCTCTGGTAGGGGCTTCGTGCTGCCCTTGTTGTGAAGGGTGTGGTCATGTATCTTTATCCATCTTGTTAGCTGCATTAGTGCCTGGCTTCTGCTGTGGGATTTGGAGAAGGCAATCCTTGGGGTGCTGTCCTGGGAAGCATGATATTTTGTACCCACCAGCTGCATTGATGGAATGCGCCGGCTCCGAGTGACTGTCCCCTGACGCTATTCACCACTGATCGTCCGCTCGCAGCCACTGCGGCTGGAGTTCTGGATGCTCACGCAGTGATGATCCCTCTGACCTCTGACAATCAGATGTCTAAGGATGCGCTCAGGGGCTAGAACTACAAGGGGCTGCATGTGTTGCAATGCTCAGCCCTGCAACGCCTTCGGCACCCTGCCGCACTGTGGAACTTGCAGCCCCAAGTTGGGGGCCCAAGCTCCCTGTGCAGTGGGGAGAGTTAGGCCCCTAAGAATGGGATTGACAGACCCCCTCCAAGCTGAGCAGGGAGCTGCTGAAACTAGGCAGTGCACAACACTGCACGGTGAGTCCTCTCCTGGAGTTAGTTCATCCCTGTCTCCCAGAAACCAGAGAGAGAGCGTCTCCTCCCCCCCCCCCTTATAGCCAATAGCCTAGTGGGTAGGGGCACTCCTCTGTGACTTCAGAGACCTCCTTCAATTGCCCCCTCTGCCTGACTTAGAGTAGGGACTCTAACTCAGGTCTGCTGCATCCCTGGCGAGCGCCCTGTCACCAGGCTGTTGAGGGAGCCACGCTCAATCTTGCCTGCTGAAGCTGCTCTGATTTGTCTACATAATTCACTGTTTGTGCTGGTGCAAGAGAGACTCCATAGCCCAGTGGTCAGGGCGCCCCCCCTTGCCTGTGAGAAGAGTTACCTTCAAGTCCCTGCCCCCAGAAATACTGACTTGTACAAAGGGAACTGCACCATTGAGAGAATGACAAAGCTTCACACCAGAATGGCCTGCAGGTGGTGAGGGCACTCAGCTGGGAGGTGAGACCTGTTTCAAGCCCCTACCCCAGGCCCCACAGGCAAGGTAGGAAGGAATATGCCTAGTTTGAGAGTCCCACTGGAGCTAGGGGACGAGTGAGGGCACCAGGCAGCATCTGGGCTTATGTGGCTTTGTGTGTGCCTGGTAGCAGAAACTTAGGCACCTATAGGGTTAGGTAGCAGCTGAACTGCTGTTTTAGGATGGCCGCCTAAATGTTGGGTACCCAAATGCCTCGTTAGGCGCCCAACTCCTTTTGTGCATCTTTCCCAGGGGGCCTAAAATTCAGACTCCCCCCGTTTGAAAAATGTGCCCTGATCAAAATAAATGGCAATTTCAACAGAATGTGCTGGTGGTGGGTGTGAAGCCTGTTGATGGAGTCAGTCTGTTTGGTAGGTTCTCGGGGTGGGTGTAATTACAGCAATAGAGAGTAATATACCCATACAGCAAATCTGACCTGATTAGATTAGGAGATGTCCCACTGGTGGCGATGAGATCTCACCTGACACTGCTTCCTTGGCCTTGCTGAGGGTCCAGGATGGCACACTAGATGCTATTGATCAGTATAAGACAGGAGTGAGACGCAGAGCCAGATAAGATGGATAAATCTGACACAGCTAGATGGAGAGAAACAAGATGTAAGAAGTGCATCGAAATGGCTAACATCAGCCTGTTGGCTGTAGCCAAGGAGTGTCTGGGTGCTCGGCTCATCTGGAAATGAGGCCCTGGTGTCTGATGCACAACACCCTTCTCTCTTCTCTCTCTTCTCCCCCTCCCCCCCCCCGGCCCATGTAAATTTCGGTTTGCTCACCGTATCTAGAGAGGCTCCTCCATGTGTTGGTGTCCCTTCCCTGGTGGTGTGTGCGAAATCAGCATGGTACCAAGTTAAAAACTGTTCCTCTCATGGGCATTAATATGGATTTCACTGTAGTGGTGGCAAAACAAGGCCCCTGGTGCTGAACTGACTCCTCATGTGAGAACAATGCTGAGCACCGCAATGGCAGTGCTGCATAGGGAACACCTAAAGTAATGCTGTTTGTTTTACTCTGCGTTGCCAGTGTCCCTCTTGTGGATAAGCCACAGAGAGATACTGGCTCTAACGGGAGCAAGTTAGCAAACAGAAGAAAGTAGCATCTAAACATATGTTGGAAGGGGTTAGGGTGACTGGATCAGGGAAAGCAAATATCGGGACACACGGGGGGGTGTGGGGGGGTGCCCACCAGCAGAGCAAAAAATTAGGAAAAAAATCCAAGTCAGTCCCCGCTGACGGAGTGTCCAAAAAAAAAAAGCGCTGCCGGTGGGATATCGGGACAATTTGCATCCCGACCAATGATCGGTCGGGACATGGGACACACCCTGATTTTATCGGGACGTCTGGTCACCCTAGAAGGGGTAGGGTACAATGGTGCTGGAGCAACTTGTATAGTGGGGTGTTGAGAACCATTGAACCAAACTGTAAACCCTGTATATGATGGAAACTGCTCCCCTACTTCCAGCACCTATTGTAGGGTATGTAGGAATTGGTAACTATTTCCATGCTAAATCATCCTGATCTACATGGGAAATGTATATTTGTAAAATGCACATGATAATGGAGGCCATTTCACATGGACTTGTCAACACAGAGGCTCAGTGCACGGCAAGCTGGGGTTAAATCTACAGAGCACTAGCCTGTTGCACGCTGACAGGCTGTGTGGACCCTGCTAGTGTGCACTGACAGTTCCATAGTGTATTTAGTGCACACTAGCAGGGGTCACACGGTGAGTTAGTGAATGACAGGTGAGTACAGTGTAAATTTACTCCCCAGCTTGCTGCTCTGCGTCTCAATATGGACAAGCCCAAGTGTTGCTGTGAAGCACCAAAGCCGCCCTTTGGAAGAAAGCGTAACCGAACGCACTGAGAAAGGAAAGGGTTCAGTAGCTGTTGTCCTCAGGAAGCGGACTCCAGCCTTATCTTGCATCACAACAAAAGATTAAAGCTGCCTTGTTAACTGTTCTAAGAACATCAACTAGTAGTAAGTTGTAGGCAGTGTTGCTATAGCCCTGTTGGTCCCAGGATATTAGAGAAGGTTGGAGGAAATATCTTTTATTGAACCAGTGTCTGTCGGTGAGAGACAAGTGTTCAAGCCACACAGAGCTCGGTTTTGGGTCAGTTTAGTGTAAGCTTGAAAGCTCTCTTCCCCTCTCCCTCACCTTCTCTCTCTAATACTAAAATATGCAGTCAGGATCTGATCCTGTCCACCTGTCTGTCCATATGAATTGCCATAACACAAC